AAGAAATCAACCAAAGAGGATAAACTAAGTATGCTCTACCGTAAATTTCACAGAGTTCGGCTTACACCAACAAAAATCCCAGGTTTGATTGAAGCATTATCCGATATTGACACAGATATTGAGGGGAAAGAACGGGTCAGTGATTTCAACAGTGATACAGAGACAGCAGATGATGGTGAGTCAACGGTTGAGGAAAGTGAGGATTCTGAGGAGGAGGACGAGGGACGTCCACAGCCTCCTATTCAAAAGCGTGCAGGACGTTCTCAACAAACAGATCCTGCAGATGCCTGGTGTACTGACAACACTCAACCATCTGTAGACAGTTTCACTGGAACATCTAGCTACATATATGACTTCGAGGTGTATTCCGGTATTGGTAAAACAGTGGAGACAGTCATGAGCTTGATTCAGCCCCTAATGTACAAGAGTTATCATCTGTATATGGATAACTACTATAACTCTGTCAACCTCACAGAACAGCTACGTCAACATGGTGTTTACACGTGTAGAACCATCAGATTACAGTGTGGCGCCCCCAAGCATCTGCAACAGCAAGCAAAGGGTAAAATTCCCGTGGATACAACCCTATTCAGCCGCAAGGATAATACATTTATAATCCTGTGGAAAGACAAGTGAGTGGTCTCCGTAATCACAAACTGCCACAATGCTGACACACAGGAAGTCGAGTGAAGGAGAAGAGTGCGGAAATGTGACGGAACCACTTCAGTGAACCTTGTAACTGTAAACAAACCAAATGCAATATGTGACTACAATACCTACATGAAAGGCGTTGATCACTTTACCAGATGGTAAAATATTACAAGTTCACACGAAAATGTCACAAGTGGACCAAAAAAATATTATTTTATTTTCTGCAAATGGCTCTCCATAATGCATATGTGTTGCACAAGACCTACAGCAATGATCAGAAAAAAATTACCTTGCTCCAGTTTCATGAGGTAGCAATATGGCCCTTGTTGAGGTGGGAAAATGATGAGTGGCCTAACACAGATAACCCCATCGCACATGCTCTGGATATAAATGCCGATGATGGCAATGTTGGCAGACCGGGACCATCTGGTGTGAGGCGTCCTCTATTTCCTTCAACACCACCTTCCTTCCTTCCATTCCTTTGATAAGTTTTTATAAATATATTGCTACTTCATACTTTGTTATTGGTATTGCTTATATATATTGAGGTTGTTATTGCTTATATTTGTCTGTCTATCTAGAGCATTTTATTGTGAATAATTTGATACCACAATGAACAATGTTGCACAAAAACTTCTGTTAGTAAACTGTATGTGTTTGTCTGGTGTATTGGGTGTAGCGGGTGTGGCAATGAGTGCTCTAGCGGGTAAGGCTTTGGTGACTTTAGGGGTCGTTGTGGGTGAGGCGCGCCTATGTTGTCTAATTTATATGCATATGTCTGTGTAGGAAATTTTATTGCAATCACAGTGATAAAAAAAGAACGATGTTGAACAAGTTTGGACTTGATAAACCTGAATAGAGTAGCAACATGTACACGCTGTTTGGCGTGCACAACTAACTAACGACTTAGTTTTTTATTTGGTGCCGGCATCACGTTAGCTTTGGTGACATGTTATACATATGTTCATCTAGAACATTTCATTGAGAACACATCGATACCAAAATTAAACACGTACATCGAAAATTAAGGTCAAAAACATGAACAGAGCATGAACTTTTCAGTAGGGTGTAGCTGATATGCAGTTGGGCGTGCAGTAACAGGTAACCCTCAGGCAACTTCCCAGAGTCTTGCGGGTGAGGCACGCCCATGTTTTGTATTTTATATTCATATTTCTGTGTAGGAATTTTATTGGGATCACAGTGATACTAAAATTAACGATGTAGAACAATTCTGGGGTTGACAAACCTGAAAAGAGCATAAACATTTCATCGCTGTTTGGCAATCACGGCTAACGATTGCCATAGATTTTTTTATTTGGTGCAGGTCTCATGTCGGCTTTAGTGAAATTTTATATATATATATTCCTCTAGAGCATTCTCTTGGGAACAGATTGATACCAAAATTAAATACATACATGGAAAATTAAGGTGAGCAGACCGAAAAGAGTATAAACATTTAAGTGTCGCCGTGCGGTCACCCAAAATGCTAGGCGCACGAGGAGAAAGTTACACAGGCTTCTGCCGTGTGTGGGAAAGTGTTAATCTTCACCAATCTATCATCATCACTTATGGGCTTCTCAAGCCTGTGCCACCTCTTGGGTGGCTTAATCTTCATCAATCATCATCAGTCCAGGTGAATGGAATGTTTATTTTCTGGGAAGTGTGGATGGCAATTTATAATCATCATCAGTCTAACTCCAGAAGTGATTCAGTCCAGATGCTTGAGAGATTCCACACATCTTCAACATTCACCAACAACAATGTAACACTCTAACGTGTCCAGTTCCTACCCTCACAATACGTTTCAGCCTCGACACAGAGCAGACAGCCAGACTCCAGTTGCATCGAGCTTCCACACTCTCGTCCCTCACTCAGCTTCTCAACTCTACCCGCATTCAAAGCGCCACACTCTACGCACTCGCCCCGCATCCGAGCAGCTCTCTATCCCCGACCTGAGATTCAGTACTGATTCATTACTGATATTTGACATTCAGTACCTTCCTTCCTTGGGTAAAAGTGACCATGTCTTTTTGGGAATAAAGTATGCAATGCATTATAATCTGGAAGAAAATGAGGAACTTGAAGCAGTTGAAAAGCTTGATCTCAGACGAAGACATTATGGAGAACTTAGAAATTTCTTTAAGGAAATTTGACTATTAGGCTAGGAAGAATATGAGAAGTATGTCAAGTTTTGTGAAATATATGATAAGAGGCACAAAATTTTTTATACCAACACACAGATTCAGAACTAGGAAACAGGATTGATTCAACAGAAATTGTGAGAGGGTCAGAGACAAAAGACACAAAAAAAAAATCAATATAGGAAGAGGCCAAATCCACAAAGATACAAGAAACAACTACATGGTAGTGAGGAGAGAGACAGAAAGAAGTTTTGAGAAAGGGATAATGGACAAATGTAAAACAAAAAGTTCCAAAGTGTGCTTGTACAAAAGGAAATGTCCAGAGAACCAGACACAATAAGAATTCCAGAGAGCAACTTTGAGCACATAGAGGTGTCCACAGACGAAGTGGAAAAAATGCTCAAGGAGCTAAGTAACAACAAATCAGTTGGCCCAGATGGAGTCTCACCATGGGTTCTGAAAGAATATGCACCTGAGCTCAGCATTCCACTTCAACTGATTTTTCAGGCATACATGTGTACAGGAGTCCTAAAAGACGTGTAGGAAAAGGTTAACGTGGTTCCAGTCTACAAGAGTGGCAGCAGGGAAGACCCCCTTTAGTCAGTTTTTATGATCGAGCCACAGAGATTTTATAGGAAAGAGATGGTTGGGTTGACTGCATCTAGGGATCTGGACCTAAAAAAAGACTTTTGACAGAGTTCCACATAAAAGGTTGTTCTGGAAACTGGAACATATTAGAGGAATGACAGGTAGGCTTCTAACAGGGAATCGATAAAATTGATAGGGAAGAATTTCCGAGACGTGGAACTTCAAAAACAAGATGTCATAGATTTAAACTAACTAAACAAAGCTGCCGGATAAATATATAAAAATTCACTTTCGCAAACAGAGTGGTAGATGGTTGGAACAAGTTAGGTGAGGTGGTGGTGGAGGCCAAAACAGTCAGTAGTTTCAAAGCGTTATATGAGAGTACTGGGAAGACCAGACACCATGAACAGAGCTCTCATCCTGTAACTGCACTTAGGTAATTACATAATTTTGCTACCTCTGGGCTACAAACTGCTACAAAAAAAGATAAGGGAAAACAATTAGTTATTTTTCTTACATATTTATTATTTATACGCATATAAAATCATTGTAAATTATTTGGCTATGCAAAAAACATGATTTGTATAATTTGCTGTGAGAAAAATTTTGAAATTGTGATAACTATCCAACACTATCGCGTGCGTCACGAGAGCGCCGCAGACTTTGACGTCATGGGGCTAATGGTGCGAGCGAGTGTGTGGCGACGCCTAAATGTGTATACTCGTTTCAGTTTTCTCACCTTAATTCTTGTGCTACGTCATTCGTTTTGGTATCATTGTGTTTGCAATTAAATTCCCTGCAGATGTATATGCATATAATGTCCAAAAGCCTGGCGAGACTCCCTGCAGCAAAGCCTAAAGTTACCCGTGAACGAGCACCAATTTGCACACCACAACCTAATGTGTATACTCGTTCAGTTTAATAACATCAATTTTCATGTTACATCGCTCGTTTTGGTATCAAACTGTTCGCAATATAAAGGCGCGAATTTTAAAACTAGTCTCATAATAATAGAGCAATAACTGGAATTTTAACAAATATTTTAATTTTGAACGCTCATCATCAAAATTATTTATCTTTCCAGTGTTCTGACATCAACTTTCATATTACATTGCTTGTTTTGATATCAGATTGCTTGCAATATAAAGGCGTGCATTTTAAAACTAGTCCCATAATAATAGCACAATAAATAGAATTTTAACAAATATTTTAAAATTTATAATTTAGACCCAAAAACCTATTTATAATCTTTCAAGTGTTCTGACATCAAGTTTTGTGTTACGTCTTTCATTTTGGTATCAAATTGTGCACATTTTAATGGCGCTTCTTTCGAAACTATCCCGAGGTCGATCGGATAAAAATTGAATTTTATACAAATATTTTTGTAGTGGACGCGAGTCCTGTCCACAGCTAGGACTCAAGAGAAAAAATGGACGTGATCGGTGTCCAAAGCGAGCGATAATGTTAAATGAAAGTTTTCAGAAATCTGAATTTCTCATGACCCATATTGGGACTGGAATGATGTGATCTGGATTTTGGAGGGTCCACTGTATACTGTGCTTTGAAAGTGTTTTTAATTTTTTTTTAAAAGAGTTGCTAATTTTTTAGAATTGTTTACAGTTGGTCGCCGCTGCATCCCTCACAATGTTGCAGATCATGCAGAAAATATCATCTCTGCTATTAAAGCTGCATCGAGCCTGAACAAATATGACAAATTTGAAATTCTTGAAGCTCTTGTAAACGCTATGAAATATGTGATGCGATTTGCTAATTTCCAACAGGTATTAATTTCTGAGGTTTGAGTACTGTATGCTATTGCAAAATGCATTAAGCTTCATTATACTAACCCACTTGTGACTATTTCTGCTGACTTGAGTAAGTGCTCTTTCTTCTTTATTAATGTGCAATTATGATCAGGTCTGTTTATATGCTTACAACTTCATAGCACAGCTGTGTAAAGGAGAGAATGAGGTGTATTTTAAAATTAGTAAATTAATTAATTATAATATGGTACTGTATGTATATGCCATCAAAGATGAGAGTACAGTACGTGTATATTGAAATGCTGTACATATTGTAGGTTGTAACTATTGAGTGGCCCACCAGAAAGAGGTGTTTCATTGCATTCATTGTTAATTTTTTCTGAGCAAGCCCTCGTTCAAATACTTACCTGAGGTATACAAAAAAAGCATAAAAAAAGTTAACTTTTTGAGTCATGAAGTTGTTAAGCTGTCAACAATATTTTTATTAAGAATTGTGTATGTATTAGATCATTATACCACTAGAATTACCTATTAGCCATCACTTATAAACTGAAGGCCTCTGTAAATTTCAGTGCATAAGTACAGTATTTGCCAAAGTTCTCCCGTTTTAATTTACTGTGTAGCGCAAGGGCACAACTTGAAAGCTGTACCTTAGAGTACAGACTAACAAAACCAGTCCTTTACTTCCTTACGTATAGTATAGATATGTTAATTTAAATCAGGGATGTATAACTAATATGCATTTGTAAACAGTTCAAACACAAGAGTAACTGCGTGGGGCCGGTACCATATTTTTGAATTGACGGGACTCGAGAAACAATCAAAGTGTGTGCATTACATTTATTAAAATACAGGAAATGGGATAATACACTAACAAGGAATAATTTATCACTGACCAGATAAACAACAGTGTTTCAGTCACTCAAATTTAATGGAGATTAATGACCTCACAGTGAGGTGGGCGGGCACCTCACGAGCACAAACACCACACAACCTGCCTATGTGGAGTCTAGACCCTCTCTGTCCTCGTGGAGTACAAGGACGCTACTCTCACAAAAACGCGCAGGAAAATTTTACACACACAGAATCATACACATTTACTAATACTCAACATACTCTCCAACACTTACAAATGAAACATAAAATTTAATGCAAATACAGTGTAACAAAGTGGTATTTTAACTAAGGGGGGATCTCACCGGAACTATGAGAGTTGTTGTAGGGTATTCATAATTTATTATCCTGATACATGTGAAAGGTGCTGCAACTAGGCCAAGTTTCAGCATCTCAGCCTAAATAGAGAAGGAGAAAAAAAAAAAAAAATTAAACAATTTTTCAACAATGTTCAATTGCTTTCACAGCCCACAATTGTGAACCAAAATCATTTCTACGACACTCAGCTATGACCTTACTATATAATAAAGATTTGCACCAAGGATTTTTATCCCAGATGTATTTAGTGCAATAATACAGATTTTTAAAAGTTTCCCAAAAACGTATGCAACAAAATGAAGTTTATCATTATTTATAAAATCAATAAATCTACGTAGATAAGAAAAGCTACATGTGTTTTTAGAGGCATAAACTCTACATCTAATGTGCAAGTTTCATGTAAATTGAATAATAAATAAAGGCTGTGAGGGCAGATCTAGTTGTAAAAGTTGGAGTGGCGTAGCGCGCCGCGACAAGTTACTCTACTCGCGGTCACGATCTTCACTCGTGACAATGCGTGATTTACGCATTGCGGCCAGCTCGTACCTTCTATGGAGAGCTCGCATGCATCTAGCTTTCAATGCGTTTCTCTTGTTCGTTTGGTAAGTCATATTGCAGTACAAATAGCAAAAATAGCATGAGTTCTGGGAGATATTGTGAGAGCGCGTCAGCGATACATCCACTTCCTAAGGGACACAGACAGTGACTGAGGGGCTAAGCCACGAACCCCACCCTCTCTCACACGAGACTGTTGCCAATGAGTGAGTTTATATTCATTTTATGCATAACATGTTATTTTCAATGCTATTACGAAATATTAGACTTCTACAACGTAAGATACAATACTCCGCGGCGCACCCACGCCGCGAGGACCAGATTCACGAAAGTTGCAGCGGGAAATTTGACTCTACGTTATTTTTCAAGATAACATAAAACGGTTTGCACCACAGTGTTGCCAGAACGTTGTAGTATTTTTCGTAATTTTTCGTAAATATTCCATTTTTCTTCGGATTTTCGGGCTACACCCCCTAAGAGAAACATTTACATTAATAATAACAAAAGCTAGACTTTATATACCAGTCATTACAGTAGCTCATATCAGTGAAGTATGAAGATGTATTTCCCTCCCTCTCACTCTCCAGGTGATGAAGGGTATGATGTGGGATGGTGATTAGCAAACAGTCAATGGGAAATAAATTGAATAATTGAACACGTCTTAGAACCATCTCATGATTGAGGTTTGCTTGTACTGTATATCATACAGTATTAATAAATCTTATCATAGATTTTGTCTGATATCATCATTAAGATGATATTGTGAGAGGGTTGAGGTGATCCAGCATTTTCCAAATTTGGGTGGGATGAACATAGTGAAAAAGTGCATAAACATGACAGAACTGAAAGTGTCAAACAGACAGAAATTAAAAAAAGGTAAAGAAACAAAGCAGAAATCCCAGAAACTAAAAAAAGGTAAAGAAACAAAGCAGACATTTCAGAAACAAAAAAGGTAAAGAAACAAAGCAGACATTTCAGAAACCAAAAAAGGTAAAGAAACAAAGCAGAAATCCCAGAAACTAAAAAAGTTTTCAGAAACCAAAAAAGGTAAAGAAACAAAGCAGAAATAGTGTTTTCAAAAGAAATAGTACGGGAGCACATGGTGACCAAAACAAAAATGGCCGCCAACATGAGGAAGGACAAAACAGAAAACCACCAACACCATCCAAACCTTTGATGGTGTTGATGGGAAAATATTAGGAGGAGTGGTTTTCATAACATGTTGGCAAAAATAGAGATCATTGTAAAGAATCATATGGATAGGATTAAGAATTTGAACAACGGGAATGAAAACTAGAGAAACAACGTGTAGCCCCTAGAAGATCAAATAAAGGAATTTTGCAAGGCTAAGGAACACGGGGAAACAAGAGGAAAAGTCCTAGATGAGGAAACTATAATATAATAATAATAATAATAATAATAATAATTTTATTTAGGCTAAGGTACATACATAAAGAGATTTTACAAAGTTTGTTGGCTTTATAGATAGAGCTAGTACATACAATGCCTAAAGCCACTATTACGCAAAGCGTTTCGGGCAGACATTAATATTAAATATTAATTACAGTAATATTAATATTTATAAATATTAATATTAAAAATAGCTCTTGAAGTTAAATCAAATCTAGATATTAGTGAATACAATACAGTAGGTTAGGCAAGGAAATTCAACAGGGGGAAAAAGATCTTTCACCAGAAAAGATGGAGAAAGTTACACAGAATATAGGAAAGTGCAAGAAGTATATGCCACTAACACACGCACATGTGGCCAGAGATTGACATATTAAAAGTATGGAGTTAAGGATGTGACTGGGTAACAACAAGAATCTGCACGACCCTCACCTAAATATTTCAGCAAAGAGCCAACACAAAATGTAAAACAGATAAACCAACATAATCCAAGAAAGCATGAACCTGGAATCTGCCAATATTATGCATGGGGGTATATGTAAATATAGGCTATCAGGAAGAACTAATGGAACATGCAAATATACAGTAATCACAAAGAAACTGCAGAAATATCCTAAGTATCTGATACTTTTTCTCATCCTCATATCGGCCATAGATGTGGATACAAACTGTAATACTGTACATGTATCATCATTTGCAGATGACACTTGGATTTTCTTGTGAGTAAACAATATAGAGGACATAGCAAACCTCCAATCCAATGTAAATCAGGTCTTTCAATGGGCCACGGATAATAATATGATGGTTAATGAAAATAAGTTCAGCTCCTGCAATATAGCAAAAACAGAAACCATATATAAAACGGAGTCAACTCACACTATAGAATGGAAAAACAATGTAAAGGATTTAAGAGTACTCATATCGAAAGACCTTGCCTTTACAGAACACAATAAAGTAGCTGTCACGACTGCAAGAAAATGACAGGTTGGATAACAAAGTCCTTCCAAACAAGAGATGTCACACCAATTATGATCATTTTCAAGACACTAGTGCTCTCTAGGGGGAAATATTGTTGCACACTAACAGCTCCATTCAGAGCTGGAGAAATTGCTGACCTAGATAGCATGCAAAGATCCTTTACTGCTAGAATCCATTTTATAAATCATCTAAATTATTGAGATATATATTTTTCAGTGGGGAGCCCCTACGGCCCCCTGGAGCTTATCGGGCTAATGTATGTTATATTAGACCGGGACATTAGCTAAGGAGTTCAGACCTACCAGGGACCAGCGCCAGAACCTGGCCCCTTTAGAGAGGTTTCAGGGAGCAATGGCCCTGGAAAACCACTTTGTGGTTGGGGTTTTCCTTATCTGCCTAACCGGGGTAAGGCACCCAGAAAGGTAGGCATAACAAAACAAACCCCACATGGTAAAAAACTAAAACAAAAACCGAACAGAGAGGTAGAAACTCCCTACAATCATAAGGATACAAGCAAACATCACACTTTACTGCCGCGCCGATCGTCCGCGCAGCCCTCCCCGCCCCGAGAGGGGGAGGGGGGAGCCCCGGACCCACCGCGCCGGCTGCCAAGCTTTAGTTCGTAAGCTAATGTCAACCGGGATAGACACTTCTCTGGCCTCAGTTTCCTAGGCTGTGTTTGCCTTGTGTGGCGTTCACTGCCATGTGTTGTGTTGTGTTGTGCGGTGGCCAGGAGTACCTCATCAGTGTCGGGGCTGCATGCGCTTAGTGGCTGACTTCCCTAAGTGCCCTGTGAGTACTGCCCCTGCGTAACAGGGTTATCTTCCCTGGGGCGTTCGGGAACCATTCCCATAGAGGTTCTT